GAAATTGGGATACCTACAGAATGTAGGGCACTAGGGCTACAGCTGCACCCGGCCAAGGTCTGCACGGTGGTGGGACCAGCATGCTGAATGTGTGCAGGCAGTCAGGCTAGCACAGCCTCCTGGGAGCCCAGCTGCTGCCGCCAGCTAGGGCATACACTGTCTCGAAGGAGCATCTGGTCCAGATAAAAGGACCTCCCAGATTCACTAAGGTGGAAGCAGCTGGGAAGGGACCCTGGGAGCTGGTGGCTGGCTCAAGCTGAGCTGGGAGCATTGACCTCCTCTCCTCCAACACTCAGGGTTGGATCAAACCTGGAAATCACTAAATCTAAGCCTCACGACCCACGCAACCTTCAGAAGCGGCCCACCAGTGCTCAACTACCAGAAGTGGACACACCAACCTTGGTCTACTCGTGGGGATGGGCTATGACCCGCCCACACCAGTCCGCTCATGCGGACACAGATCAGGGATCACTGTCAAGGACAGGTGTTGGCCACTCCTCAGGGTCTGTCATGAGAAGACAGAACGAAACCTACTGCAGCTGATGGCTGCCAGAGTTCAGCCTCAGGGTAACCCTACAGGCAAGTCAAATACAGAAAGCACCACGTGAACCTGGATCAATCAGACCCTGAAATCCACTCCCACTGTTCAATGTTAACATACTTGTTGTTCACAACTATTTCAGCTTAGGGTTTTTTGGCCATAGTTGACTTACAAGTCTTTTCACACGGCTGTTGCACTGGGGACTCTCTCCTGGCTAAATGTATTAACATTTGTTTTGTCTCACAAAAAGTCCAAATTTTCAACAAAGCTGCATGTGTAAGAATGACAGTTTCATTCCATTTGTTCTTCTCTTGGCTGGTGTAGACCACAAGGTTCTCAGCATACTGCAAGACTGACTTTAAAAACCTGTTGAAAAAGAGAGCGATTAATTTATTTGCCCATGCATTATAAAATGCAAAAAAAAAGAGAGACTTAGGTGTTTTCTCTTTCCTCTTGGAATTACTCCTAGAGTTAAACAGTACTTAGTTTGTATCTGTAGATCCCAGAAAACACATGGATGCAATATGAAAATAAGGAACACATGCTACAGAAGAGCCAAAACATGGAGAAGGCAAGCCATCAACAGGCTTATGAAACACAGTGTGTTCTGGATGAGACTGGCAGAGAGGCCACAAGAGGGCTGGGCCCAGCCCCAGATCCCAGGTGTCAGGACAGCGGCACTCTCTCCCCTCCTCCCGCACAGGGCCTCAGGAGAGGCGTGCAGAGCTGCTGCTGAGGCCATTTTCACTTCTCCAACCTTATCCTCAAAGCGCCCAAGGTTTGGGATTCCCCAACTTGTTACCTAGAAACTTTTCACACTCAGAAGACAAGTGAAAAAGTACCAGTGAGGTCCAACCCTCCATGTGGGACAGTCCCGCGCAACATGCACACTCCCACACACTCACCAGTCCCACACGACGTGCACACTCCCACACACTCACCAGTCCCGCACGACGTGCACATTCCTGCACACATTCACCAGTCCCGCGCAACATGCACACTCCCACACACCAGTCCCGCACGACGTGCACACTCCCACACACTCACCAGTCCCACACGACGTGCACACTCCCACACACTCACCAGTCCCGCACGACGTGCACACTCCCACACACTCACCAGTCCCACACGACGTGCACACTCCCACACACTCAGTCCCACACGACGTGCACACTCCCACACACTCACCAGTCCTGCACGACATGCACACTCCTGCACACACACCAGTCCTGCACAACGTGCACACTCCCACACACTCACCAGTCCCGCACGACGTGCACACTCCCACACACTCACCAGTCCCACACGACGTGCACACTCCCACACACTCACAGTCCCGCACGACATGCACACTCCCACACACTCACCAGTCCCACACGCTCCCACACACTCACCAGTCCCGCACGACATGCACACTCCTGCACACACTCACCAGTCCTGCACAACGTGCACACTCCCACACACTCACCAGTCCTGCACGACATGCACACTCCCACACACCAGTCCCGCACGACGTGCACATTCCTGCACACACTCACCAGTCCTGCACAACGTGCACTCCCACACACTCACCAGTCCCACACGACGTGCACACTCCCACACACTCGCCAGTCCCACACGACGTGCACACTCCCACACACTCACCAGTCCTGCACAACGTGCACACTCCCACACACTCACCAGTCCCGCACGACGTGCACACTCCCACACACTCACCAGTCCTGCACAACGTGCACACTCCCACACACTCACCAGTCCTGCACGACATACACACTCCCACACACACTCACCAGTCCTGCACAACGTGCACACTCCCACACACACTCACCAGTCCTGCACGACATGCACACTCCCGCACACTCACCAGTCCCACACGACGTGCACACTCCCACACACTCACCAGTCCCCCACAACGTGCACACTCCCGCACACACTCACCAGTCCCGCACGACGTGCACACTCCCACACACCAGTCCCCCACAATGTGCACACTCCTGCACTCACCAGTCCCGCACGACATGCACACTCCCACACTCACCAGTCCCCCACAATGTGCACACTCCCACACACTCACCAGCCCCGCACGACGTGCACACTCCCACACACTCACCAGTCCCCCACAACGTGCACACTCCCGCACACTCACCAGTCCCGCATGACGTGCACACTCCCGCACACTCACCAGTCCCGCACGACATGCACACTCCCACACTCACCAGTCCCCCACAATGTGCACACTCCCACACACTCACCAGTCCCCCACAACGTGCACACTCCCACACACACTCACCAGTCCCCCACAACGTGCACACTCCCACACACACTCACCAGTCCCGCACGACATGCACACTCCCACACACTCACCAGTCCCCCACAATGTGCACGCTGGCACTTCATTCTCACAAGCCGTGGTGCTTCTGGGTATTAAATGCCTCAGGCCTATTTTGATGCCCACCTCACTATTCAGAGGCAGCGGAGACACTAAGACTGTGTGGGCAGGCTGGGAAGGGGGCTCAGTGGCAGAACGCTTGCCTATCATGCACGAGGCCCTGGGTGCAATTCCTCAGTACCACATTCACAAACAAGCAAACAAAGACTGCAGGCAGCCGCACCCCAGCACAAGCAGCACCCGTGCAGCCTGGTCCACGGGGCTCTGGTTTAAGTTGGGCCAGCTAGGGTTCCACCAACTTTTGGAGCCCCACATCTGGACAGCCCTGAAAAGCAGGCTTCCCAGATTGGAAACTATTGGTTATACACAACAAATATGGCTGGCCTTGTGCCCTTCGGACGTGGCAGGGCTTGCCCATGCCCAGACTTCACATGCCCCTGGCAACAGCAGGTGCCAGTGGGTGCCAGAGCCCGTATGCGCTTCCGCCTCAATGCCTACCCTGCAGCTCCAACCTATTGTCATGCTGTAGCACAGACTGTTGAGTTCTGGAAGGACTCATGCATACTAAACCATGTTTACTTTTGTGAGGCATACATACCCATATAGGTGTCAGCCTCAAATGTTTACACGCTTACTAGCAGTAAAATTCTGAGAACTGCTAAGGAACCATCAGAATCAACAAAGGTTAGGAAAAAAAAAAGTCACCAAGGAAACAATCGAGTCAAAACTGGTCTTCTGTATTTGACCTCTGACAGTTCTGGGGACTGGACTCAGGGCCTCACACTGGCTGGCAACGTGAGCCACACATCCAACTTTTGTTGCATCATTTTCAAGGTAGTGTCCTGGCTTTATGGCCGGGTAGGCGTGGGCTGAGAGCCTCTCCTTTGTGCTCTCCCGCACCACAAGGGCCATTGCCATATGCCCAGCCATTGTGCATTGTGCTCCCCCCGACACAACACCCGGCCACGTTTATGTCCTGACTGGACACAAACCGCGGTCACTCTTATCCCTGCCTCCAAGTAGCCAGGACTATAGTTTTACTGTGCCTGACTAGGCATGAGAACTATTTGAAATTATCCAAGCATGAATGTTTCATTCCTGTTTAAGTAGAGCACACTTACTTTAGGTATTTCTGATATTCACGAGCATCTTTACCACAGACGACATGAATGCTGACCAATTCCAACAGAAGGAACAACAAAATCAGGTACAGCACAGGAGACAGAAGCCTAGTACTAAAAAGGAGACAGCAGATTACCATCTGACCCAAGTAACAATTTTCCATCGTCAGAGGGGAAACCAAGTTTCACCTAACCACCGTCTTCTTCAAACACCTTAATTGAAGGTTCTAGAAAGATGGTGCCCGAGGCACCTTCCATGTGCCCTGCAGCCCCCACAGTCCGTCTTCTCGCTAGCCTCGTGTGCCAGGAGTCTCCCGTCTGTCTGGGAGCAGCACCTCCCTGAGTCTGGCCAGCTGCAGCTGCTGTCCACCCAACGCTGCGCCTCTAACGACACCGGTGGAAGGGGGAGGGGTGAACAGGGGTCAAACACAGCCCAGCCGAGGGCTGGCCCACAGCCATGAACACACCTGGTGAGCATGTGCAGGTAGTTCTGCCGCTGCCTGGAGCGCAGGCTCCGCTCCGCCCACTGCCTGTGCCTCAGCTGCAAGGAGGCCTCCACCTGGCGAGACAGGCGCTGGCACTGGGAACTGATGCTGCGGAGCACTGCCAGCACTTCCAGGACGACTCTGGGGCAGAACAGCGTGGGAATGCGTATGCAGCAGAGTCCACGGAGCACCTGGGGCCACCTGCACGTGACAGCACGCAGTCAGGAGCGCGCCCACCAAAGCCTCAGGCCAGCCCCGGGCCTGCAGGACAACTGGAGGGAGCGTAGGTCAGTGCTGACCGAGGGGTAACTCTCAGACACTCCTGTGCCTCCACAGAGAATGACCTGTCCAAAACTCCTTGTGGGGGCCGTGTTCACAGAAGACAGACAATACCAAGTATGCTAGCCGCGCCTGCTACGGTGTTGTGGAACTCACGTTGAGGTGGGAGGACCATCTGTGTCCCTGACAGCACAGAGATGTGCAGGCATGTGGTGACACAGCTCACATACAATCTTTGTAATTAAAGAGTAGCAGGCACACGTTTCAGAGTCACTTTCCAATCTGAAACAGACGATATTCAAAGACACACAATAGTTAAAACGCCATCATAACAGTAACATTCACTTTAGTGTTCAATGAGCAAGCAACTTTATCTGAGACTTAGTAAAAACCAGTGACAGAAGTGCACTATTTGGGACACTATCTGGGTACACACGGCTTGTCCACATTATTCCACAGCATGAATGTGCCTGCAACATTTGGGGTCCCAAGTCTGTATCATACCCCTCTTCCTCCTGAGTTCAGACTCCTACTTCTTCTGCTAAGAAGTTCTTGGTGGGTGCCTCTGTCTCCCTCAAACCCCCATACCCACCTCCAGTCTGTGCTCCTTGTGGGAGATCACCTTAGCCAGGCTTCTTGCTTGTACATGCATGGAGCAGACAGTGAGACCTAGCAGCTCCCTTTTTTATCCATGTTCCAAGAGCCCCAAGGAGAGCAGAGCTCTTGGAACTGGCTACCTGATACCCGGACAGTCTGTGCAGCCCATGACAACACACCTGGTGGCTTCCAGACCAAGTTCTTCTGGTAAAGACAGCAAAGGCCAAACCCTGATGTTTTCCTCACAGCTCAGCACCTGGAAGAAGCATTTACATGCTGGTTTTTGTTTTGTTTTTGCCAATATTAGGGCTTGAACTCAGAGAGACTGAGCACTATTCCTGAGCTTTTTCACAAGGCTGGTGGTGCTCTACCACGTGAGCCACAGATCCACTTCTAGGTTTTTGGAGGCTAATTGTAGATAAAACTTTGAGGTAGAAATCCATGGACCATGATCCTCCAATCTTGGCCTTCTGAGCAACTAGGATTATAGAAGTGAGCCACCAGTGTCGGCAAATGGCCTTTACAAAGATTTCACAAATTACCTGGAAAGTATGTTTTCAACTATTACGGAAGTTAAATCACTTTCTAACTCCCTATTATTTTAAAAGGGGGGTGACTCAGATGAGGGACAGCTGGTTGACCTTCTGGAGGACTTGCAGCTGCTGAACATCTGGCTGGTGTGAACTCACATCCTTTGACCCTGTGAGCTTTGGTAGTGGTCCCTGATTAAGAGGATGAAGGGTGCCGCATGGTGCCCCTGATTCAGGACCATGCCTCTTGTGTGAGGCTGGCTGTCACCTGGGACTGCTGCTCAGGGGACGTGTGAGGTCTCTGGTCAGTTTTCAGCCTTCTAGATAGGATACTCCACAAGCAGTGCTCTGGGGGGACACCCTAGTCAATGCCCAGCTGAAGCCGCTCTGATTTCTGACCCACAACAATATAAGCAAATCAAATGGCACCTGTGGATAGCACCACAGCTGGTGGTATCTGAGATGCGGACCTGTCACAAAAAGATGAAGGACAGGAGGTGGCGAGAATCTGAAATAACTGGGGAGGACAGAGGGGCTCCCAGGGAAGAGGACAGCAAGGAATGTAGGGAGAGTCAGAGAGGCTGTAGTCACAAGGCAAAGCCTTCTTTTCATAAGTTTCTCTTCCTTCCAGAACCTTCCCTTCTAAACACTGTCCCTACAGACAAGTGCTGGTACATCTACCGTCATAATCATGGAAAATGCAAAGTTCTCACGGGGACCAGACTGGTGTGATGGGAATGGTAAATAGTATCAGAACAACGACATAGCTGAGTTCACTGTCCCCAATCAGAACCCACCAGCCATGAAGCATGAGGATGCCATTTCTCTCTGCTTCCCTCACAAGCACCTTCCCACGGACATTGTCAGTCAAGCCTGTCTTCAAGGCACAGACTCTCTACAGAGCTCTGCAAAACTCTGCCCACACCACAGGTACCGAGCATTATCACCACCAGTCTACTTGAGTGGCCATTCTGAGTCAGAACGGCTTGGGGACATTCCTGGACCCCTGGAAACTCCTCACATCCTGCCATATGTAAAATAAAGCCCCTTAGCCTATTGTCAAATTGGAATTTCATCACAGCATTGCTTAAAAGCTTGAAATTGTTAACAAAAACTGGTCCCAGTGCAGTAGAAGACAAAAATGGCACTCCTTGCCTGTACTCTGACCTGGGTTGATAAGACAGCAGCAGCTGGGAAGGTGGCTCAGTGGTAGAGCACTTGCCTTGCATGCATGAGGCCCTGGGTTCGATTCCTCAGTACCACCTAAGCAGAAAAAGCCAAAAGTGGTGCTGTGGTTCAAGTGATAGAGTGCTAGTCTTGAGCGAAGAGCTGAGGGACAGTGCCCAGGCCCAGAGTTCAGGGCCCACGACCAACAAACAGCAGCAGCTTCCAACACTCACACCTTACTAATAAAAACATCCAATGACACCAATCTTACCATCAGAGCCTGAGCCAAGGTAGCTCAGAAAGACTGTGCACCTTGCCCACTGTCATGTAAGTGATGTATGAGGTCACAGCCTGCTGAACGAGTCTCTTGGATCTTCTGAAAACTCTGCAGAGGAGCAATTCCACACACGAACCCTCTTCCCAAAGCCCTGCACATGGCTTACCTGCTTTTTAAGCTGAAAAATGGGATGGCAGCGGGAACTATAGCCCTCTGCGAGTCGCATCAATGATATTACCACTGCTTCCTCCTGGTTTAGAAAAAAATTAGTTACCACAGTTTTTATTAGGGCTTTTAAGGTTTGTTTTAAATTGAATCACAGGTTATTACAGTCCAATTTTCTCATTGTTTTCCTTCAAATAATTCTGTGCAGCTAAAAACAAAGTAAAATTCTTCAGTAAGTTGGACCGGGTAGTTAAATCATAGCTCAAATGATTTAAAAAAATTTTTTTTTGGCCAGTCCTGGGGCTTGAACTCAGGGCCTGGGCACTGTACCTAAGCTTCTTTCACTCAAGGGTACCACTCTTCCACTTGAGCAACAGTACCACTTCCGGCCTTTTCAGTTTATGTGGTACTGAGGAATCGAACTCAGGAGTTCATGCATGCTAGGTAAGCACTCTACCACGAAGCCACATTCCCAGCCCCCCAAATGATTTTAAACAGAACTGGCTAACAACCATAGCTATTAACAATGTGACAAAAGTACAAATACATAAGTAAACAATTACAAAAAAACTTAAATGTTAAAAAAAATCATTTCAACTAAAAGAATATCACAGTTATAAATACTAAATGGCTAAACACATAAATACTGAAAAGCTTTGATAAGTTATTATCTATAATTACCAATGTAATAAGCAATAGCCATCTAGAGTTCCCAGCAATATAGAACAAACAATTCACATGGTTACAAAAGTTAAGGTCTAAGGAGAGGCGTTACCTTTCATATGCTACATCCCTGAGCCCTAAGTCACAGCTGTACTGCATGGAGCACCCTCACAGCGCCTGGATAGGCAGAGTTGGGCGTGGGTTAGTGAGCTCCCACGAGGCTCTGGGGGACAGCATGGGCTTGTAGGTCAAGGTGGAACACCTACCTGGCTTTGGTTCTAGGATGTGAAACCATAGTAGAACCTCTGGGTCAAGAGGCAAAATACTTGAAAAGGGATCTGGCTACTGTGCTAAGAAAGCAAAGAGGTCACAGAAAAAGGAGACCTGCCACAGTGTTAAAATACTGTTGCGAGGAGGGTGAGGGTGGTTTGGGCAGGTTATGTCATGGAAGGGACACACTTGGGATTTAGGATTAAGGCAGAGGACTCAGAGGGAATATGGAAGCAGGGAAGAGAGGCTGGGGGCCTGGGCCTGAGCAGCCACTGTTAAGATGTGCTTTTAGATGGCGGGCTAGGGCTGAGCGCCCAGTAGGAGTCAGCCAGAGATGCCACATAACCAAATGGATTTCCCTATGCCAAAACATGTTAGGCTCCCTAAGCTACTCCACTAGACATGCTCTTTACTATTTGTGTTTTGTGTGACATGCTCTTTACTATTTCTTTTTTGGGTTTTGTTTTTAACTATGCAAGTTTACATGGAATAATAACAGCGAATAGGCAAGAAAATTCTGAGAACAGTCATTGGAAGATAATTCAGGGGATGTCAAGTTATCATGGAGCTTTAGTAAAGACTAAAGCTACTAGCAAAGACAGCCCAGGGCTAGGGCCTGGTACACATGGAACACAGATATTTAGTCTTTGCATAGTATACACTCTTGGTAGCTATTTGTAAAAGAAAACAAAGTAAAACTAGACTCTCTACCTTACTCCTAAGATGGATTAAATTCCACTTGGATCAAAATATGTAAATGAAACTGGTGCTGATGGCTCCCAACTGTCCTATACTCAGGAGGTTGAGATCTGAGGATCAGGTTCAAACCTAGCCCAGGCAGTTAAGTCTGTAAGACTCTTATCTCTAGCCACCAAAAAGCCAGAAGTGGAGCTGTGGGTCAAATGGTAGCCCCAATAATCACACACACACACACACACACACACACACACACTCACACACACACACGTAAATGGAAAACAAAAAGGAAGCAGTAAAGGCACTAGGAAAATTGTAAGCACATTTATAATTATGGAAAGCAAAGAGGCTTAGAAGAATGACTCTAAATGCAGAAGCCAAAGACAGCAAAAGATTGAAAGCTTAAAAAAAAAAATGCTGGGTGCTGGTAACTCACGCCTGTCATCCTAGCTACTCAAGAGGCTGAGATCTGAGGATCGAGGTTCAAAGCCAGTCCGGGCAGGAAAGTCCATGAGACTCCAATTAACCACCAGAAAACAGGAAGTGGCACTGTGGCTCAAATGAGAGAGCTCGCCTTGAGCTCTTTAAAGAGCTCAGGGACAGTGTCCAGGCCCAGAGTTCAAGGCCTGTAACTGACACAATAAAAAAAAAAATTAAAAAAGGAAGCAATATGTACACTGAAGTTACAAGTAAGATTAATAAGTCAAGGGAGAAAACAAATCCAACAAAATGGAGCACACTATGTTAATAGGAAGTCTAGAAAATAATTACAACCATGCATGTGGTAAATGCAAGAAAAGATCAAAACATCACAAATTAAAAAATAAAAAAGGAACATCACAAACCTTTTAAAAAGAAAGGTCTTACTGCTATCTTTAGCCTTGAAACTTTACTTTTCAATGGACTACAGGTGCCCAAATGAGCATATGGGTTCACTTTACATTGCAATTAGGAATTTTCTGTAGCACAGTTATTATCTGAGCCAGCGATGCTCTGACAGAATGGAAGCTGACAAAAGGGGTAAGCAAACTGAAGCCACAAACACACCTAATAATGAGAAACACTAGCTACAAGACATAATGTCATCTTCGTAAGCACCATGTTGGTACGCACATGGAAAAATGTGAGGCAAACACACTTAATGCTAAGCCAGGCACAGGTGGCTCATGCCTGTAATCCTAGCTACTCAGGAGGCTGAGATCTGAGGATTGTAGTTCAAAGCCAGCCCACGCAGTTAAGTCCCCATGAGACTCTTATCTCCAGTAGACTCTTATCTCCAGTTAACCACCAGAAGACTGGAAGTGGCCCTGTGGCTCAAGTGTTAGAGCGCTCGCCTTGAGCTGAAGAGCTCAGGGACAGTTGCCCAGGCCCAGAGTTTAAGCTCCATGACTGACCAAAAAAAAAAAAAACCCACACTTAATGCTCAACAATAATCATTGCTGGGAGTTATTCCTCATGGCTTGAACTTCTAAACAATTTTTTAAATGACTTCTAAACATACAATCTGAAAATAAATAAGAATAGACATTCTAGCCAAAATTACTTAACTTCCTAATATTTGGTTAACTGTTTTCTAATTTGTTCTTTGATTTTTCAATAGTATATTGCTATTAAAAACAAAGGCAAAAGTCTGCTCAATACTTAAATTACCTCAAATAGTACTAATTATAGAAAACATAAATATACATGTAATCAATAATTATTAGTAGTATAACTCATTAAAACAAAAGATTAATAGTATCAATTACACTGGGAAATTAAACCACACTCTTTCACTGCTGAATGACAAGAGAGTTTATCTAGCCATCTTGCTCTGTCTGCATTACCTTAAACATTGACAGCACATCTTCCTCAGTGAATCTGAGGGAGAGCACAAGAGCAAATGCAAGGAGCTGGCTTGCTGCTGCTTCTGGAAACTCACGTATGTTTATCTCTCCATGGCTTAAACGGTCTCGTAAACGGGGGCCCTCCTGATGGTTCAGGAAATCCCAGAGAAATTCCTTTCAGAAGTAAACAGAAAATGTTTTGCTAATGTTCTAGGCAGAGGGAACAATGGAGGGCTAAGGGCCCTGGGCAGTGTGAATTCCACAGACTGTGTCATCACTACTACACAGCCAGAATTCTAGAGGGGAGCCTTGTATATGCTAGGCAGGAAAAACCTAAGAGCTGGCAAGGCGCTGAGGGCCAATCATTAAGGACAGAAACATCTGGAAGGTTCTGGAAGCTAGTGAGACTCCCCTCTTGCTTATGCTCACCCTCTTCCAGGGCAATACAAGTTGTTCTACTGTTTATGAGCATAGCCCGTTTTGCAGTCTCCTGTTTCCCTCTTCTCTACGGTGCTCATTTCATCATTAAACTGATCAAGACAGTTCTTTCTTCCCTTTAATTACATGTGGCCAAGGCCTCTCCCTTAAGCTACAGAAAAGAAGTCAGGAAAAAGCTGACCTGGGAAGATGGTCAATGGATGGACAGTCCCAGGGATTCAAGACAGAAAAAGAGTCATGGATAAGCTTACTTAGTCATCTCCTAAACTATCAGAATGACTAAAGTTCATAGGAATCTGACTAATAGCAAACAGGAACTAAAATCTAGGTCTGCCAACTCTCAGTCAGAAGGAAATTTTTATGGTCCCAAACAGTTGTTACAGGCTGGGCAGGTAGAGTGCTTGCCTTGCATGCATGAAGCCCTGGGTTCGGTTAGCAGAAAAAGCTGAAAGTGGCACTGTGGCTCAAGTGGTAGAGCACTAGCCTTGAGCTGAAGAGGTGAGGGACAGCACCCAGGCCCAGAGTTCAGGCCCCACAATTGACAAAACAAAAAAACAAAGACCAAAAAACCCCCAAAAAGTTGTTATAGTATCTTCACAAAATATTTTTTAAAACCTGAGAATAATTGTTTTTTCATCCAACTCAGTCGTATTCATTTGACTGTTGCTATACTTCACAAGACAAACACAGTCCTGTAGATTGCACACATACATAGAACCAACAAATGCTTAGGAACACTAAATCATTAGGTTTCAAAAAACACTGCAGTAATACAAAGCAGTGTCCACCCTGGAGCCATGGCGAAGCCAGTATCTGATGGAGGGTAAGAGGAAAAGATAAGTATGGTTCAGCTCTGCTCTTGAGTAGACAACTAGTCATATTCTTTGTTAGTGGACTGGCGTATACAGGTTCATAAGCACAAGAATACAAGACAGGAAAAAAACCTAATACTGTACCATAGCAGGTTCTCCAAGGAAAAGAGGAAGTTGGTTCACTCTACCATCCCTCAAATGCTTTGCCAATATCTAAAACACCAAAAACAAATAAGCTATTATATTCACACACACTCACACACACAGAGAAACATATCTAACCCTTAAAATGTAAGCCTTTACGTAAGTCTAGTCCATAATGTTACCGTGTCTTTGCATTTTCCAGCTTAGTTTTGTGCAATTTTAGAAACTAGATTAGTATTATTAGTACTATGGTTCTTAAAATTAGCCTGAAAGCTGTATTTAAATCTACTATTAGTTTTTCTCCCTATGTTACTACCAACATATTCTTCTAGGTATATGATTTATGGCCAATGTTTAGCTTTGCATTTTAAAAGAAAACAATATTTCAAGTTGCCTAAAAAATTTAACTACTTACTTCATCAAAGGTGGTATACAGAGTTCTTGACTGCAGGAAATAGAAGGAATGAAAATAAATTATTAAAAAAATGGTATCACATTATTCAACATAGGAAAATGTTCTGGTCATTGTCACACCGCCACAATCTTTTTGTGAAAATCTTGTTATGCTTCATCTAGAAACATTTTGGGACAAAGTTTAAACAGTATAAAAGATAGGAAAACTTACTGAATCTGATGACAGGATGTGGTCTTTACAAGTATTTTATCTTAAGTATTCGTAACACTTAGGGTCCTATATCTCTACAAGTCACTAAACTCTAATGTCTGATACTTGTACATAAGAGTACCATGTAGTATTTTCTCCAGAAATAGTCTTTATTTTCCTTCATCTTCATGTGACCAGAAAAGCATTCAAGGTTTACTCCCAAGAAATAAGATCCTGGGCAATTTCTTTAGCTCCAGAAACTTGAATTTTCTCTGCAAATAGGGTGTGATCAACATTTGCCTCAAAAGGCTTCTGGGATGGGGATGGGCTGGGAAGGTGGCTCAGTGGTAGAGCATTTGCCTTGCATGCATGAGGCCCTGGGTTCGATTCCTCAGCACCACATAAGCAAAAAGAAAA